CAAACTTTTAGTACACATTAATTTTCACAATCAGTACGTTCTCGTCACTTTAAACTTAACTACTTTTATAATACACGCTATAAATCACAGCGAATCACAATCTCGATAACTTCACTTTCTACGAGTGCAAAACACTAGCTCAAAACAGAATCGTAAATTACCCAGAACTCTCTTCATTCATTTCCGCAGGCTTTCTCTGCCAGGCTTATATATCAACGAAGGGGGCGTCTCGAATACACTCAGGCCTCCCTGAGTATTCATGATCATTCGAGAAATTCATCACATGTCACCAGCGTCACGTAATATCCGCTGTCGTAACAGTAGCATTATATTTAGTCTTTTTTACTGCATCTTTCTTAGCTGTTAAGTGTCATATCCTCTTATTCATGTTTCCTTTCATTTCATACTTCCTGAAATACGTTACTTTCAGTTTTATTATTGTTTTTTTATTATTTTGTCATTTATTTTTGTTAATTATTTGCTTATTTGTAAGTTTCAGAATTTCACACAAAGCTAAAAAAGGGTATTTGTGCATAACCATCTCTAATTTGTAACTAACAAACTAAAGGGAAGACAGTTAGTGCACAGCACTCACTACCTTCAAGGAGAAGGGGATAGTGGTGTATCTCATGTTCCAAGAATATATATTTCAAATCATACCACCTTTTATTTCTATAGTTCTAATTTAGACTATACTAAATTTAATCGAAGTCCTGTGCTAATTCATTCCTAGGGTATACTGTCTGTAGTGAATTAGACTATTTACCATTTCATAGAATGGTTGTGTGATATCTCATTTCATCCTGTTTATATGAAACTACTTTATGACTGTAACAGGGAGAAGTGTTATATCTTTTAGCTTTCAGTTGAAGAAAGAATGTAGATAATGAGAGCAATTTTGATACTTTCAGTCAGATTCATCTTTGATGGTTCAAGAGTCACATCTAAAGCTAAATGTCTTTGTTTTCTCTTTCTTCTGGCACTTGTAGCTCATGCGTGATTTTAGTTTGCACTATAACCCTAAAAATCTTCTTCTAGATACTTTTACGTCCTGTTATATTTCTATAGCGATTACAGCTTGTTTTATTTCATTTTTGTATAAATACAGTTTAGTTTATCGTTTTCTTTAACTTTAACTATCTAATTTTACCTTAATAACCTTCAATTACAATAGGTCTGTTTGCTCGATGATCAGCCAGTGTTTACCTCATCATCCTGGTTTATCTGTGAAACAAAAACGTATTCTTGTTTCAAATTACTTTTATTCTACCTGCAGTAAGTCACTATATTTGCCCTTCTGTATTTTTAAGTAACTAGTTTCCCCTAAGAGTGGTAAGACAGGTCAGCTTAACACCAATAAATTCAACAAAATATTTACTATAAAACAATTTTATACTCTAAAGTGATGATAAATAAAAAGATGACTGAATACAAACACATAATCACAATAAACAGTTTTTATTTAAGACAAACAAATTTGAAATATATAGTTAACTTGTCATAATAGATGGTTCTAACTCAGTGATATCTAGTTCCAAACTATGTCTCTCTAGATCGTGTTCCAGACTACATTGCTGAGATCATGTTCCAGCCTCAATATTTCTGATGTTAGCTAATTAAATTGTTAGCATCAGGCTTACACAGAAATATAGAAATGAAATACAAGGGGGGGGGTCATAGAGGTTTACCTAACTACCCGTGAAAAAGCTACATGTCTAACATGGGAAAACAAAGGGTGATACTATAAGTGAATAACACAAACCAATGGGTAGCTAGAGCAAAAGACATCAACAACCTTCTTCACTAACATGATATATGGAAAATGCACATACATGCACAAGTAACAAATTCGGAATGTTCATATAGTAATATACGAAGGTAGAAAATACATAGTATGCCTATATACTACATTTCTCCTGCCTCCTTTACTCCAGTCTTTTCCTCAAGCCAATACTAATCTTAACATTAAATCCAATAAACCTCACAAACGTGTGTTGGTCAAGGAGCATCATATCTTTCTCTCGCCCCAGTAAAAAAAAATACACTCAACACAGATAACACAACATTCTAACAAAGAAACTCAGCAGTTACATCACAAGACCATTTAACAATGAATTACATTCATTAAAACATGATTAGAAAATAATACAAACTTGTCATACAATAAAAAAGAAAACTTTAACATAAGTTAATTTGCACTGTTTATAGAAAATTATGAATGGATCGAAGTTCACTAATTTGCTTCACCACAACCAGCCCCAATGTTTCAGCAGCAAATCTGAATACTGATAATTCCTGTCGTGGGCACAACACAAATAAAACATTGTGTAGCTTTGTGCTTAACTACAATCAAAAATACAAGAACCCCTTAACGTTAATTGCAATTTGTTATATACTTTTTATACTTTTTCTTGTAACGTTTATATATAATAATTATGTAATGCTTAATTTGAAAAATATGTATGCCCTTAAAAATATATGGTGATGATGGTATTGTGAAAACAAAAATGATGTGAAAAATTTCAAGTCAGATGCTGTCACTAAATGCTCACTTCCTGTTGCCACAAAAATATATTCCACATATTGGGGCCATGGAATACTATAAAAGAGGCAGGTAACTTCCACTATTTCGTCAGACAAGATTAACTCAAGACTTGGAAGAGAGTGATGTTGACTAGCTTTCCTTCTAGTCAATCAGTTCAATGTTATGGATGGTTTTGCATAGATAGTCCTTATATGATTTTGGGTGAAAATTCTAAAATAATCAACAACAAATAACTCGTTATATATTTCGATTATATTTTTGCACGGAAACACATCACACTTTAAAAATATAAAGCAACATAACTCTATCTCAGAAATTTTTTTTATTGTTGAAGCATTTGAATTAGTCATACATTTGTAGGTATGTACCAAATAACCTAAGATTTTTCAAATATTATTATATATACACTTATATTTCGCACTACAAACAGATATTGTAGTGCCAATTTCATTGCATAAAAGTTTGAAAAGCACAATCAAACAGTTTCCATACCTTTGGCAAAATTCTAATTCAATACAAGCTAAAAACTAAGACTGTTACGTCTCTGGTCGTTAGTTAATTTTCCGTAAAAATGATTTCCGAAGACTTTAGCGATATAAGTCATTTCTTAAATAAAACTGGTTTATTCTTTCTGAATACAACTTTGCAATACACTTAATTTCCACAGTCGCGCTATACCAAACGCTATAATTCACAACGAACGTCTCACGTGCTCAACAATACGTCTCTCTCTGTCCGCAGTTCAATTACATATTGTTGCCGTCACGTCTTGACCGTCTTATATGTACAATAATACCGAAATCTATTAACTCCCGACGCTTCATGAACGTTCTAGAAGCGCGTGACGTGTTACTAGCGTCACGTGACCTCCGCTGTCGTAACAACTCTATCTTAGAAATAAATGAAAGTAGAGCACAAGTTACAAACCGGGAACAGTGAAGTGTGTTCTACAATAGAGATATCTGGTGAACAAAATCATTTAGCTGTTTATGGTTTAGGTTACACCAGATGCACTAGAAGATCATTTTTTCAGTAGTTATGTTTACATTACAAAGACATCAAATTAAATTCATTTGATAATTATAAGCTAGATAGTTAAAAATCGTTTAGATTTTAAAGATTCTTAGTTTAACTCGAAAGATTTAAAATTAATATTTCTCATTTTAATTTTCCATCACAGGAGAAGATCGGGACTCGGGAGAGGAAAACAACAAAATTTCGGCCATGAAAAAGCCCAAATTAAAGAAAAATAACCGTTCTGATCCTGCTGAGCTCTCCCAAGAAAGACCTTCATCCAGAACGTCTACACCGTCCCCGAGTAAGAAGCCTAGCAAGAGACCAGTAAGGCGCGTCCAAAGCATGTGGTCCACACTGAAAACAGTTGTTCCTCATCGGTTAAAGAATCGTCATAAGAACGAGCTGAGCTGCAGTGGTCGACTTGGTTCCAGTGACCCGGATGTTTCTAGCAGCAACTTAGCGTCGTTAGCGAAAACACCAGTTGATGATTCTGGGATTAGAAGTTCAGAGGCCAAACTTTTAAATGACACGTCCAGTCTAAGTGACCCTAACCTCAACAGACAAGACTTTGTAGGAAACACCAACTGTCATACAGAAAAGAAAGCTTTAGTGATTACTACAAGGGAAGACCAAACAGATAGTGGCCTTGAAAGTATGGTAAGTATAAGATATATTTATCACGTTCATATGCACAGTGGTTTAAGTCATACATTTTTATATTTTGAAGAGCTAAAATTAGAATAACTGAAACTGAAGTAAAACAAATGCTCAATATAAATTCTGTTTTTCGAACTTCAGAAAGAACAGTCACATCTGTTAAACTCTACATAATATAGGTGGGAGACGCAACTTTATTTTTCCACTAAGAACTTTTTGTGTATGATCTTTTGGAGGAGATGACTAAATTACATACACAACAAATAAATGCAGTGTGGCGTAATATATTGTATTTCAACAGACACTTCCTTTATTCCACCATATGATGAAATTTAAGACTACAATAAAGTCGAGTTATAAAATGATAAGTTGTATTGATGAACTGATAATCATTAAGTCAGTTATGTTAATGAAACACTGGTGACTAAATTTTCGCTCTTAGCTTGACACAAAAGTGTTCCTCGAATTCAAACTATATCAAAAATTAACTTCCTACAAGATAGTTATATCAACGAACTCTTAAACTTACTGTTTCATTACACGTGAATGCTATCGAGTGTTAACACAAAATGAATTTTGCAGCATTTCAAATACAGTATATATGACAAAATAGGAAACATACCAAAATATGGTACAGCTAAGGCATCAGGCCACTTGTATCTCTTACTCGTGTGTGTGCTTTATAGAATATATAGAAAACATAATAAACATAGTATATAGTGTGAAATAATGGTACATTCTGAGGAACTCTTAATTTCAGAATGAAAATAACAGTCACAGACAATAAACGTGATAGCATCAGATACTTGAAATTCTGCACATATCTATAAATGGTACACTATCGTCAATACCAAATTAACATACTAGATAAATAGATAAATATATATAAAAAGACCTGTCATTAAAAAACTAAAAACAAATTAGAATTAAAATCCCTTTCCTATAAACATAAAAGTAATATAAGTCCATAAAGTCAAACAACGAATTGTAGAGCTCACATAGCCATAGTCACACTTCGAACATGTTAATTTAAAGATGACGTAAGAACGTTGCGTTTTAAGAAAAACTGGCTTTGAATTTCAAGTAATTACTTAAAAGAAATGTCGGCTTCAAAATAATTCTAAGTTAAATTTGAGGATATATGTTGAAAACAGTTTAATCTTTTTCTTCAATTCTAAAGCATGTTTCCCAGTGTATAACACAGCACAATAAACTGTCCGTTTAGTTGTAGAACCTTTGTTAAATTTAGAATTATACAAATTCTCTAGATACTTTTTAATAGTACTATCAATCAAATAAAGAGGAAAGTATTTCTCTATATTGACAGCCTTTTCATGGAACCCAGAAAAAGAACTATTTTATACGCCCAGTGTGTTAACTTGTAAATTAGATTATTTTTAACTATAGCTGTAAATAACTATCAAATTTAAAAGATAAGTCAGTAAACGATGATTTATGGTAACACAATTTCCCTAAATTTTAGCATTCAGAAATGGTAAAGTGGATGCAATTTGCTCTTCAGTGGTAAATTTGAAACAAACATTTTAACTATTCAAATAGTTATAAAATTCGTATACACCAGATTTATTTAAAAAACAACAAAAGTATAATTACAGATATATTTTGTAACACAAGGGTTCAAACTGTTCAGGACATAATAAACAAGATTACGACACTTATGATATCAACATTGTTTATTAACAAAAAGGGGACATAGATAAACGTTTCGGAATTCTATCAGATTCCATCATCAGTATCTAAAGCAAAATAAAATGAATTTACAAAACTCACACCCAATCAAGGCCAAACTAGTGTTAGTTTTGATAAATACATAGAACAAAGTGTTCTATAAGAGCGATTATATCAAATATGAATACTTTTACTCATAAGTTAGCAGTTTTAGCCTTTTATAACAAATGAGTTTACAGCAAATGTATATAATCCAATCTTAAGATTACTTCATTCAAGTTTTCTAATACATTTCCCCAGATTTCAAAAGTTTTCTTTTTGTAATTTCAATTTATATTTTAACTTTAATCTTAAAAATTTGACTATTAATTAATTTGCTTCGTCTTTCCTGCTTAAGTTGTAATTAGAATTTTCTTTGTGCCTAAGGATGGTTATTAGATAACCAAAAGCTAGCATAAATATGAACATTGTGTGGAGAACAAATGGGATTGTAATTTTAGTTTTTGTTAATGGTAATCTACTTATGTACGTTTATTTATTTAATGCGTCAATATGATCTTGGTGATAGTATACTATTTATCGATATGTGTAGTATTTTAAGTATCTGGTGTATCATATATATGTGTCATTGATCGTTATTTTATTCTGAGATTGCAGTTTCCAAAGTATGTCACGCTAGTTCAGATTATTCGGAAAAGATATAACGATGTTGTTTTAAAGAAATATAATATACAGTACACAGAACAAAACAAGATAAAATCTTTAATAACAGGAGACTCTCAGGATGTAGTCAGTGAATAAGTGAGTTGTTGAATAATGCGGTAATAACTCAAACGGACACTAGATTAAGAAATAATAATTCAAACTTTATTTACACAGTATTAAACAAATGAAACCAGATATCAAATAATAAGAAACAACAGAATCACAAGAAAATGACACAAACTATTTAAGTATATACAAGATCAGTTCGAACTCAAAACATACAAAATTATTCACAAGTGCCAAGATGCTTGTCAAACGAAGATGTGGCTTTGAAGTCAGGGCCTAATCTGACCTCAAAGCTTCAACTGATCAAGCAGACATAAGTCAACCGCAGTCAGGTAAAACATACACAGGTTATTTAGTTCGTGTAATAAAATTCTGCATATATATATAACATTTATTAATAGAAACCTGTACTTTTCTAAACACCATACAAAGCACACACATATATATATATACATAATATATTTAGCTGTATGTAGATATATTGATACTGTGTATCAATATATCTAAACAAAATACATATAGTACACACGTTGTTCTGCATCCAATAGTTTATTTTGCTTTTATTTCAAAATTTAGATTAGTCTTATATATACTGAAACTTCTAAATAATTAATAACATGCTCACGATGGAATTGCATATAATATTCAGTACGTACTTGTTACATTTGATGCTGCAGATTTATATATGTATGGCATTCTGAACACCAGTGCTCTCGTTTATAGATATTTAGATCATTTCTTTTTAATAATTTCTAAAAAATAATCAACATAGACCACGATTTCTTTAATATAATAAATTTTGTTTAATCATACAAATCGTTTACAGAACAAATCAAATTATGTTTTTTGTTGATGTTTTTCTTGCATGAATTGAGTGTTTGAGGAAGAATGTTACAGGTTTCTTGGAATGTCACAAAAATATATTTTCTTTTCCAAATTATATTCAAGGAGAGTACAACATTGAAACAACGACAGAATACACTGAGGAAGCACGCATTTTTCCAGGTTGATGTCCATCTTCGGTCTGGCAAGGATTTGTTGGCTAAAGACTCTTGTGGTGAGTCACTTTTCTTTACCTAAGAAGTAGAAATACGCATAACAATTGACTTTTCTCTTTCTCACATGTAAATAATGAGTAAAGACACGAATGGCAAACTGCTTTTTACCAGGCTCACGTAAGTATCAAAGTGTGTAGAAATACGCGGAATAAAGTATTCTTATATAGCTGAGGATACAAAACTGTAGAAATTCGACCATTAAGATAATTTTATCTGGACGTGGATTCAGCACTGTAGAAACACGACTAGTAAGCTGTTTTTAACATAACATAACATAATGTTTTCGGACAACATGGGACCTATTGGTCCATCTCGGCTGTTCCATCCTCTAAAATAAATTAAAGTATTAATAAGTAATTTTTTTTTAAATCTTAAAGCCAGCCCTTATCATTCACATCCTTATCAAGATTTTTTCTTAAACTCGCTAAAATTTACCTCCTCCACAACATCTGAAGACAACCCGTTCCAAAGGCCAACCACTCTATTACAAAAATAAAACTGTCTTTGCTGAAAATGACTCTTTCCCTGCCAAAATTTATATTTGTGTCCCCTACTCCTATTATTATTACTGTTAAGTATGAAAAGTGGATGCATCAACACTATCAGTTCCCTTTATAATCTTACACACTTCACTCAGATCCCCTCTAACTCTTCTTTTTTCAAGAGAAAACAATTTGATAGATTTCAACCTCTCCTCCTATGACAACTCCTCCATCCTAGGCACCATTCTAGTAACCCTTCTCTGAACCCTTTCCAACAACTCAATGTATTTTCTAAGGTAAGAAACCTAAGACTGAACACAATAATCCAAATGTGGCGTAACCAGTGACCTGTACAATGAAATTATAACTTCTTTAGACTTGTATTCAATATTTCTGTAGATACAACCTAAAATCCTATTTGCCCTACCACTAGCAACAGCACACTGCCTGGATGGCTTAAGAGACTGATCAACTATTATATCAATACCCCTTTCTTTCATGACACTGTTAAGGTTATTTCCATCCAAATTATAACCCACATGCATTATCTTACATTTATTATAATTAAAACCCATTTGCCATTTATTTGTCCAACTCACTAAATGATCTAAATCATTTTGTAAATCAGCAGCATCCTCTTCACAACATCTAAGACCTTAATATAATATGCAAATTTAAGTAATTTATTGACCATTCCTTCTTCTATGTCATTGGTGTAAATCCCAAAGAGTAAGGGTTGTAAGACTGAGCCCTAAGGTACCACACTTGTGACATTAATCCATTTCTAACAAACCTCTGCTTTCTTCCATCCAGCCACTCTTCCATCGAATTTGCTAATTTATCACCCCCCCCCCCCACACACACACACCTATAGAGATGATTTTTACAAGTCCTTTTATGTGGCAACTTATCAAATGCTTTCTGAAAATTCAAATACACCAAATCTACATTCTTATCTTCATATACATAAGCAGTAATCTTTTCAAAGAATGTCAAAAGATTTCTAGGACAAGATTTTCCCTTAGTAAAACCATGTTGACTATCCAATAAAATTCTAAACTTTGCTAAATGACTTTGCAAAGCATCTTATATCAGACTTTATGAAACATTTTCTCACAACTGATGTCAGACTAATAAGTTTATAATTACTGGAACAATTTTTATCACCTCCCTTGAAAAGAGGAGTTACGTTAGCCAACCTCCAATCCTCTGGTATCTGCCAACTATTCAAGGACTGACAAAAAATTGTAGCAAGTAGCTCATATATCCAATCTTTAACCTCCTTCAATCCCTTTGGGAAATATTATCTGGCCCAGGAGCCTTATCGTTTTTGAACTTCCCAATTTTTTTCTTACCCAGCCTAGAATTTATACAGTTATCTTGTTCTATCTTTTTTCCATCTATCAATTGTTGAAGATGTGGAATACTGCTTAAATTTTCGTTAGTAAAAACCTAAGAAAAAGCTAAATTTAATAAACCAGCCATCTCATAACCACCAGATTCAAGACTTCCTATGTCATCCCTCCTACCTCCATCCTGACATTTTGTTTACCCTTGATGCATTTAAAGAAATCCTTCCTGTTAATTTTTACATTTCATTCCAACCTTTTCTCATACATCCTTTTTGATATCCTAATTTTCCTGTTTCACTAACTTTCTTGATCTTCTGCAATCTAAATCTACTGTCACGCCGATCAATTTATACTTCTTAAATTTATTATGCTTTTCTGTAACTTTATCTCTTAAACTCTTTGTGAGCCAACCTGATTTCTTACTTGCAGCTACCCTTTTCTTTATATTAGGAATGTGTTTACCTTGAATATTTAAAAATTTATCTTTAAAAATTTTCCACATCTGATCAGTGTCTCCAAATAATTCAGCTGCCCAATTCACAACAGATAATTATTTTCGCATCCCTTCAAAATATGTTTTTTTTATTTGTAACAAAAATATCATTATTCCTTATTTCAATATGCAGCAAAACATTGAACCTAATAGAGTAATGATCACTTGCATCCAGACGTTTCCAAATTTCCACCCTCTCAATCATTTCTGTATTTGAAGTTAACCATAAGTCTAAAATAGCATTGTCTCTAGTTGGTTCCTTGACTAACTGGTGAAGAAAGCCATCCTGAACAGTTTCCAAAAACATTTCTCGATCATGGTTTAACTCTAGTATTTTCCAATCTATATGCCTGAAATTGAAATCACCCATGATTATGACTTAACCAACAGCTGAAATCTTAATCTCATTGCAAAGTTTCTCACTAATTTCATCAGCATCATCTGGTGGTCTGTAATAAATTCCCAAATGGATTCAATCTCCTTGCTGTTTTCTTTGATATCCTCAACTTCAACAGGATGTAACTCACATTTTATATATAAAGCTACTCCTCCCCTCTTTAATACTCTATATCTATTAAATAGCCTATAACCCTGTATTTCAAAGAAATTTCTGTCATAAAAATCATCTACATTTAATCATGTTTCAGTTGTTCCCATTATATCCAAATCCTCCATTCCTACCAGTACTCTAAAGTTATCTATTTTATTTCTTATACTTCTAGCATTACAATAGTAACAATTAAGCCTATCCTTATAATTACTTCGATTCTCTTTTCCTATACTAAACTTTTCTCAGCCTCTTATTCTTTTTACATTTTGTTTTTCCTGGTCCACATCACTGTCTAGTCCTAGTTTAAAAGTTCCCTTACAGCTGAGTTAATAGCCCTTGTAAATAAGCCAGAGCCTACCCCTATTTAAATGTAAACTATTCATTCCAAAATGTTCGCATTTTGCCCTAGTGACCACAATTAATCCTCAGCAAAATCCCTGACACAATTAAATTTTGGAATTTTTCATTAAATGCCTTTATCAACCTTTCAACCAAAGTAACTATAGGCTCAGTGACTGCCTGGTTGATGACTCGTATCAAGTTAAAGATGCTGATCCATTTTGCTGATTGGTCAGGCAGTTGATCACTGTCAAACACACCTTGTAAGAGAATTGAATAAACTTCTATAGCGTTCATAGTTTTGTAGATATCGGTTAAGATGATTTCTGAACTAATCAATATCTAAAATGGATTGAAATGCATAGAAGAGAATATCTATCATTTTGGGCAACGCCATGCCAAAACATTTCTCAATTCGTAATTTCCCTGCTTCACCAAGTTAAAGTGTGAATGTCCGACACTTAGATCGGGTATCAGGTCAAAGCCAAAGAGTGTATATCCTCCGAGTATTTGTTATAACTGATATCATTTCTTTGAAACTGTTTTCCTGTTCCAATTAATAAGGTTTTATAACTTCATGCATACAGATCATCATTAAAGTTATAAAGGCCGAGTTGGGTTCTGTTTTCCATCTACTATGACTGCCACTAAATTGATATTGTAAATTTTGAAATTGTACGCATTTTTTCTTTCAGGATCATTTAAATGCATTATTATCAACCCATCCTATAAGAAGACGTGTGGGTACTTAGCCTAAAAATGCATTATCGATAGATGATTGTAAGTTTCCCTATGAAGTTGAAAATGCCTTGCACGCTATATATTTCAAAGGATGTTTAGCCATTCCTTTCTGAAATGCTTTAGCTTGCGCCAGAATGATGAATGTGATGATCTTGACCTTTTTTAGTGTAGACAGAAATGTGCAGAAAAACAAACATGAATCCCAATTCGTCATTGGGCATAATACAAAATCCATCTTTACTTCTTACGAGATGGAGTTTTGCATTACCTCATTGGGCAAGAATTTGTTCTGCAAAAAGATGTCTGAATGTAGACGTCCTATCATGTCGACTGTTTGACTACGACGTGTCTCTATGTACCAATCTGTGATTCCATTATTCTCGCCATCATTAAATTCTAGATCATCAAAACTATCCACCTTGTTCTTTACCCACATAGATGAAGTTAAATGACTTTTCTTAGCATCTCTACTATAACTCAGTAAAGTTTTTATGTAGGTCTTATAAGCACGAAGTTGTGAGACGAAGAGATGAGCTTGTCATTCAGGTGTACATCTACTGGGGAAAATAGATAACGCAGAAATAAATTGATAGAAGCACAGATATCTTCTTCCTTTTTTATGTCTGATTTGAAAAACTTTGCTTTTACATGAAGATATGATTATGCCAGATTTAAGTATTCATCCCCTGAGCCTGATATAGAAAATTCGATGGAACCCCTGTTAGCCACTGAAGCTACATGATAATATTCGGTCTATTAACCCTCCTAAATCACAGTCTGTGGGGGTGGGGAAGAGAAAAAGAGGTCTAGATCAGACCTTGTGTACTGACAGAACCTTTCATGTGGAAGAAAGGTCATGATTACTTGTCGAAAAAGTCTAGAGTCGATATTCTTCACTTCTTGGTTTTAGCGATTCTGAACTCGGACCCTTTAGATCCCATCTTTTTATTAGGTTCAACAGTCTGTTTCACAATCTGGTTGACTTCTTGAGCCAAATTCTGAGCCCCTTGCGTTGCTCATTGTTTTCCAACTTAATAAAATA